ACAAACGAACGTAGATTATTGCGTTTCCGCCTCTACGCTGATTGGTTACTATTTGCATGAACTGATAAGTTTGTTTGACCGAAGTAAAGGACGAATCTCATGAATGCAGAAGCGTCGTTATTAATGGAAGCAGCCTAGTTATTATCCATCGAGGTTTCTACAGGCTAGTTTCGCTGTCACTTTCGCTGAGATTGATTTGTTGACTAAGCCGTTTGTCCTTAAAGGACTGTTCTGCGACATGTTGCTTTCTGCATTGGGATCACCTTTCTACTATGACCACCCTTCTTAAATGCTGATGAGCAGTAGCGAGTACCGAAGTCTGAAATATCGTAAGTATGAGCTCCTCGTGGCACCAACCTTTTCCTTAAACCATTTTTATTGGCTCAAACAAACCACGGCAACTCATTCCCACATTAAGATTTTTCAAGCAGTTACCTCGTCTTGTATGATCACTACAAGTTGCGTCATTGTTACCTCATTTCCTTGTAGCTTTCTTGAAGATAGCTGTGACGCTTTTGTTTATCAAACGTGCTGACAAAGGACACTTGGACACGGTGCGACTATATTAGCTCCGGTTCCAATGCCATCGAATGACGGTCATATTATTTTCATTTCACATAAACGCACGCTTTCACTCATTTCCGTTCTTCTTGTTGTTCAATCCAGATATTCCTTTATCACTGTTTGCCTTACAGGTCACCCACCCCCAGCACTAAGCTTTATTTTGTCGTTTATATTGCTCTTTTTGAGCCACACTAGCTTAGTTCACTCAAACCACTATGGTCAAGGCACCAAGCTATGGCCAAGTCACCGGAATGAAAATAAGAAAATGAAACTGAACGCAAACAGAATATCATAAAACTGGGATCAAACTAATTAAAACGAATCAGAATGTAAAATGCATGATGACAGCTCTATATAAAAAACCGAACGCAGGAACGCCACTGACCGTGCGACTGCACTATGTCTGATACCGCCTCCGATCACTTGTGTGGACGATTGCGAGGCATGAAGACGCCATGGACCGACCATCTCGCGGTTTCGCTTGATGTGGTGCAGGGACGGTATTTAACGCACGCCGAGTGAAACGGTTAGCGGGCCTACGGAGGACATGACTTAGTCAGCGTTAAATGTTGAGCTGCGGAGGGCTTCTTGCTGAAAACTAACTGGTAGACCTTAGCACTGCTCGTCCGGTCCTTTCACTAAATGTGAGCATTATTCCGTAAACACTGGTGATCAAACACGTCCCTCGCATAATTTCTTCATTGCGAACTGGCCAAGAGTCTGATCCACACACTAAGACTGGCATTATCGCAGCGTTGAACACACTGACCACCACTGACCGACTGATATCCCACCATCTCCATAATTGGTCGAGTCTCAGGAGGCGGCACGGACCTTGCCGATACACGAAGTAATTTCAGTGATGTGGTCACCATAGGTGAGACACAACTATCAAGGTAAGTAAGCTGATCCACCAATCCCGGTACCTGTTCACTGGTAGGTAAACCGGTAGCGTTTCAGTCCTGTACTGCAACGGTACTTTGCACTTTGAAAACGCAAATCGCGTGCCGCAACTTGCAGCGCTACGCGTCAATCTATTCAGTAGTGCTTGCATAGCCAATGGGTCAGACCTAAGGAGAGTTATTTCGTTCGCAAACCCGGGGTTTGTCATTCAGTGACTTAGTAGAATTTCCACTACAGAAGACTCTGAAAGAAAGAAGTCATTTATGGTTATTTCCATCGCGAGTTTGCACTGGAAGGGGAACGCTGTCGAATCCCACTTGTCGTGGTAAACTCAGGAGACAACCTCTCGTGGACACAGCCTCGCGAATTTCGGTAGCGATCTCGGAATGGAGAAATGTTTTCCCGGCACACCCTTCGGTGATAGATAGTGCCACAAACGCATAATCAACAAAGTCGAAAACGGCTTCCACGTCAGGATACCTACTATAGTCCGTCGTCTGTAGGCGCCTCTCTGATCCCTGTTCGTGGTCAAAATGATCACATGCCTACCTTGTAATCCGGAGGTCACAGGTTCGAGCTTGCGTATGGGACCGGACAACGCTCGCAGTATACTTAGCTCACACGCGACGGATGGTGGTTGCATAGCAACGAAACGTCGGTGCTACGTACCAGCATACTTCTGATGCTTTTTTATGTCACTTAACCTTGATAGAGTAAAGATGTAAGTATGGCCGTTGCGGACACCAGCCTAATTTCTAATTATTTGGCTTTTACGAGGACCAGTGAGTCGTCGAGATATCTCCAAGTACCGGAGATATGGTCAGTGCCTCCAGCATTTTCGCACTACAATTAACTATTGCCAGCCTGAAGACACCTCTTTAGAGGTCCCCGAGAATGCCGAGTAAAGCCGAAAATCCATTCAGGCGAGACCTTTATCATTCAGCAAAGATGGATGAAGTTGGTGCTGTACTCTCTTCTAAAGTAGGAAGTGTGACATAAACTTCCTACACTCTGCTTTAGTAATATGCACGACTCCCCTTCACCATAGAGGCGCTAAGGTGAGACTACCGGTTGATCTGACTCGGTTGAAATGCAAATGATCGCAATCGATGTTTTCCCCTATGAATTGAGTAGCAGACAGAGCAGTGCACTCTGAATTTATAGTTTCAAAGCAGAACGAAAACTTTGCGGTTTTGTCAGTTTGTAGCGGTTTCTATTCCGCCTACCTCAAGGAAACGATTCTTCCTACTACTCACCGCGTAAGTGGCCATCATCCATTTCCAGTAGAAGCTACATTGAGTAATGAGTTGGGGAATTTATAGCATAAAATCTTGGGGCTTTCTTCTCAGTAGCTACGAATCATCTAGTCTTCTACGTGTCCTGAGGGCCACTAGACGGCCGTCCCGTCCTGTTAAAACTCGCCGTTATTTTGCATTCATCCGATCCATCATTATCCGAACCCATGACCAATAGTGGCTTGCACCGGCAGCCAGCAGCTTATGCCACTGGGCCATGGAGCCAGCGGCGGACCGTCATAATTTACAGGCTAACTGCGATATAGTGTCTCATCTTCCACTGCCATTCAATTAGCAGTTCAGTGAGCAGCTAATGAACTATGTAATTTAAGCCAATGGGTCGATTTCATTTCCTTTTTTACCCTTAACTATGATTTTAATGGTCTGAAGAGAATCATCGAACTTATTTCAGTTAACTCCCATCTCCATTCTACAGTTCGCTTTTCGATAAACAAAACGAATTTTTCATGGTCCTGCGAAACTGTACCTGTTAACTGCTCGGGTCATTTCCATCTGTGGCTATTTTCGCCGTTCCCTGTACTTTGTCCGGCAGCACCCCGTTAAAATATACCACTGTTTATTTAACTCGAAAGATCTACTCGCTGGTTTCCGGCGATCATTTTGCCTTGCTCTAAACCAAGGACAGATGATCGTCCTACATTGTTGCTGCTGTGTATCCAGACTTGTTTAACTCACACCGCTAGTGGACTATGGGTTTCACCCATAAGAAGCTGCTTGACATCACTTTGTGATTCATCTGGCACTATATATGTCAATCCCATCGCAACGAGACTGGAACTTAACGTGGTGCGACGCTCTGTGTACCCCTTCGACCCATTGAGATATTCTGAGTGGTGCCCTCGGGCCCCTTAAGAACTACTCTCGTCAAGTCAGATAAACTCAGTCTCTTGGTCCACCAGGTTTGTGGTTTGAAAGAGGATGGCATCCATTTCTGTGGAACCAAATTATTGCCATCCAGCTCCCTTGAACAAAGGCTCAAAAGTTTTTCTCTGTCTAGGCTCTCCGGCAGTGTCTCAGCATATCTACAACAATGATTATTTCGCTTTGGTTTATCGCAGTTAGATTCCAAGACACATAGAGAAGCTACCAATCCAGTAAGGAACCAGACGGTCATTTCGCACTCTTGGGACTCGTCTGTGATGCGCATTCCCTCCGTCCCCTGCTGGGGATCGAACCCATGACCGCTAGTGGCTTGTACCACTAGCCAGCAGCTTGTGCCCTAAGCTATGGGGACGATAGCCAATCATTACAGATTGAAACCTAACTGAGGTATATCCCGACCCCTCCTCCACCGCCATACAGATTACTACCCTTACAGAGACCACTAATTGGCCGTTTGGGTCAGGAATTCGCTTACCAGTGCTGTGAATCTACACAACATTTTGATGACTGATAGTGCTTTGGTTTTGATTACTCACTACAAATCTGTCAACTTATTAGTAATGAATATTTCCTATGTCAACCAGTTTCAAATTGACGACACGACAAAGGAGTCAAAAGAATCATCTCGTCAACATTATATCTCCATCAACGGGGACATGAATCAACACCTGGCGCTATCAATCAGATGGCGTCAGAGAAAGCTAACAACAATTACGGACAGCTCTTAGTGCCGCTGTTGGGATTAATGAATTTCAAAGGAAGTGGTTCTTGAATATTACTCCAAATTTTACTATTGAACATATCGCACGTGCACGCATATATTTGTACGAACAGCGACCATCGACTATGGACAATGGTCTCGTCCGACCGAACTGGATACGGAAAATTCCTTTGTTCTTTACTAGGCTACGTTTCATCTGACTGCTCGCTGAGCTTCACAGTTTTCTTCCAAACGTTTCGTCACCGGTCGCGGTGATATCCCAGGCACTTTCTTATGTAGCGGAGCGTTACACTAACGAGTGTTTCATCCCTCTATTTGTGCTCATCCTGATCTGCCACCCACATTTTCCTCAATGTAGCAGAACAACTCCTGAAATGGAACGTCTAAATGGCATTACACTCGCGTCACGCAACAACAGCACCATCAGCTGTCAATTTCACGATTCTCAGGTATATATTGAACTATTCAACAAGTACTTGGGTTGTGTATGCCTTGCAAAGTTTGGTGTGCGCATCACGTTTTCGATCCAGCGCAACTGTTTGTTAGTTTTCAGTACGAATCGTAATGTTTTTCAGCTTGAATACGTTATACTTGTATTTTCATCCCCATTACAGCTCCCGACTTCGGCGTGGCACGAGCGCGCGGCTCGTTTGGGTAGACAGTTGTGTCAACATATCGTCGGCATGAATCCCCGACCTGGTCTGGAACTTACCGAACCTGCAAGCGATCCTGAAGAAGAGCAGTGCTTACTACTGCAGCCATTCTTTTTAGATGAAAGCGTTCGCGTGATGGATCACCTAGCTCGAAACGACATGATCTTGGAGGATTTTATTCGTGTTGAATGTGGCCAGTCGGTGGATGATGCTTCTGTTACTGTCTCAGCCATGTCATCATAACGCGTCGGCAAGGAGCTATTTTGCACTTCTTTGGAAGTTGCTTGGTACCGATGCTTCACTAACGGAATACTACCTCCGGTTATTCCATCCTATCTAGTCTTGCGGCTCTATTGCTAGGAAACTCAGTTTGTGTTAAATTCGTATTGTGTAAATAGTTTGCTTTTGTCAATACAGCACGTGGTATGATCAAAATTATATAAACTTTTTCTGTCTGTTGTTCCCGCAGTATCGAGATGACTCCTAAATATGGAATTCCTCTTTATGATCATCGGTTGTCTTAAAACCCTTTATGCCCTAATGATTTAGCAGTATGGTTTTTGGGTTTCGCCACTTTGTTCGATTGACCTGACCACTCTGGGCACTGCGTGACTACTGCCCACCATATATTTACCACCGCCTCCTCAGTTCCCCTCTCTGTCCATGTCTGCTTTATATTGAGATTATTACCTCATTTCCACCAAACCGTTGCCATTTGCGCTTGATGGTAGCCGCCCGTTGTCAGTCCGCATATACCAGCTTTGTATTTGCTAGTTCTGCTACTCGTCAGGTGTGTGCGGTATTGAAATGCTTTATCTGTGTTTTTTTTTGAGAAATCATTTTTCTTCCTCTGTCGTCAAGGTTGTATTCTCACCCTCGGTTTCCATTCACCCATATGTAAAGCCAGCTTTCTGTGTTTTGCCGGAATTGCTTCCCTTTGTTTGCCGGAATCGGTCTTGCACTCTCAAACAACTATCATAAATAGGCGTTGTAGTTTACTAGCTCGCCTGGCCTTAATCATAATCCTTGTGTGCTTGTGCTTCCACTGTTATGCTCTGACCAACACTATCATCCTGTGCAAAGTTGTCACATGCGGAGGAAAAGCCGTTATTCGTAAACAAGTAGTACATCCGGCGGAGGATTGCAATCTGAAACTGCGCTTTGCCGTATTTCATGCTGTTTCATTCAAACCTAACAAAGGGGAACTCCTCAATGAAGCTTCTCTCTCCACAATATTACACAACAAAACCAAAACCAGGTGTGCTTTCGGTGGTTTCTCACCATACTGCTACGTCACAGTAACTAGGCTTAGAGTCTGCCCTAGTTATTCAACCACAAACATATTGCCTGATCAGTGATCAGACTAGGGTTGCGCTTGTCAAGTGGAAGTCGACAAAGGCAGATGGACGGTCTTAGACTAATTCCCTTTTTGTACATAAGATCGAACAGCAATCGCACCTGCTATCGCTTTTATATATCATTCGATTGCTTACTTGTATTGTCTCTGTATGCGGTTCATGAGCGGATTCGGTGGGTTGAATCCACTAAGCTTGACAGCACCGCGCTCGTCACCTGCTTCACACCACAACAAAGCCGCGACCGCCTATGTTCTCACATTGTCTGGACAGTTGCCTGTTAATTTTACCAGTATATCTTTCTCAATACACTAATAACTAGTCAACTTCTGCTCGCAGAGCCAAGTTAGCTGAGTTACCGACATGTTTAACTTGTGCCGTGCTAGTTTCAGTCGGCTCATATCTGAAAAGACCCCAAGGTCGCGTCCGGTCGTGCAGCGCATCATTGGGAACAAGCAGCACAAAATTGGTGATCTAAATGCACGAGATTTGCTCCCCATTGAATCACAGCTGCTGCTATCCCTGTGTCATGATTTCAACCGCTGTTGGGGAACCCGGATTTTTGGGAATTCGATAATTCGTTTAGATCTTCAAACTCATTCCTTATACGCTTTATATTTATTTATATCTAATTTTCACTTTAAACTATACCTTCTGCAACTCAAACTGGACATAATTTAAGCAGAAAATTGACAATTTTAAGCCAGGAATGGGGAGTAACCTGACTGGACAATGTTCGGACCACAGTGTATTCAGGCTAATTCAACCCGAACTGTACAAGTAGCGCGCTCTAGTGCTAGTCCCTTGCTCATGAGCGTCGTTTGCCTCGGTCAAAGGCGTTGACCCAGTTTTTCTTTGTCCCTCTACCAACCTTTGCGTATTGCATGTATGTGAACCTGTTCAGCTGCGCAACTGTTGGAGCAGTGTGTGCTATCATGACCACCAAACTTTGCCTAGCTTTATTTGCCTATTGCTGCACGAAACGTTAGAAATTAAAGACGAACGACGAGAATATGCGTCTTCGAAACCACAACTTTGCAAGCGAATATCATTGACAAGGAAAATGATCCTTACCAAGCTTGCGTTCCTCGACGGCAGAACCACTTACGAAGCTGCTGAAGTTGCCGACGTCGATGAGGGCACGGCAAGAACGTCATCTATGTCTAAAATCGCAACTCTGCATGAAACAACCGAGAGAAGCTGACTCCCGATGTCTTGCAGCGCATCGAAGAGACCGTTGAATGACATCCGGGGGACACTAATGCAGCTATAACAGCGGCTGAAAGAGAACTTCGTCCACCTCTCCGTATCTACGGTCTTCAACACCCTCATAGGGCTAAGGACCACGTTCTAGAAGTGCTGCTACGAGCTAGGCCGTGCCAACGGTGCCACGACGATCGCAAGCCAGCAGACTTCTCGGTACGTGCATTACATGACTAACAGAATTGCATGTTTATTGACGAGGCGAGTTCCACCTCCGTCTGCGGCGGACGCAGGCTCGCTGAAGAAGAGGGACGTGCAGGAATGTCCTCTTGCCCACAGTCAGAGACTACATGGTGACGCTGATTGTGGTAATGAATAAGCGAGGCATCGTCCACTGCAAAATAACGTTGGCACCTACAATAGTGCAAATTTCTCGGCGTTCGTCGAGGGTCTTGTGGCGGGTATACACAACGGAGTGGAGTGCATGGACGATCATGGACAGCGCCAGAACCCACATGCCGTATGATATTGGGAGTACTCTAGGTTCGTCCTAACAGCTGGAGTTTCTTTCACCCTACTCGTGCATGCTAAACCCCGCAGTTTAATTTAAACTACGCTTACTTTTCGATGAAAATGGCATTTAAACAAGGAAGAAAACGATGGCGATGTCAACATCATCGCTTCACCACATCAGAGAACACTTGATCGTTGCTGTCGTTGAAACGATCGGGCTTTCAAACTATGTGGTCTGATTGGTCATTTAACAACAGTGTGGCGCATTGTTGTCAGCTGGTTTTGCTGTGCATGAGGGGACTCTGCCGATTCAGAGAAGGAGGATAAGCTTCACAAATAGTGCTGGCGATTGACTCGAAAGCTCAATCACCTCAGAAATGCAAGGTGGTAGGCGGAGGCGGAGCAAATGGAATGCTACGCTGGGTGCCATCATTTCATTATGCACGTTAGCTGTAAGTGGAAACACCCCAACTATTATGGTACGATACATTGGAAAATAAAAGAAACACAACAGGGGCGCGCTAGCTGAGGCACCAGTAACGGATGGGCATCGTTCCGGATAGCTACCAGCCGGCTATTATGCTGCGAAAAAAATTATATTATGCATAGGAAATGAAATCGTGGTTGGAGGGGAGATGAAGGGGCAAAGAAACTCACATCACAAATGCCATTGAGGTCGGTTACTAGCCATGTCCACAAGTATATCCAGCCAAACGTGTTCATCGTCTTTCGGACCCCAACCAGGGAATGCAGGTGCTCCAACGGAGACCAATTTGGAACAGAGCGTTCCTTCATTTTGACCAAATCATCGCTTGGCCTCCCTCTTCTTCTCCCATGCACATCCGCGGCGCGCAAGCGACACACGTCGCGGTAGTCTGGGTGTCCGCACACGCAACACATGGCCCAGCCATCGGAGCTTTGTGTGTGAAATAACGGTGCTGAGCGGTTCACTTCCTCTTCCTGTGCCATAAAAGACGTCGATTACGGTTATTGCTCACGCGGTGTTCCTAGATATGAGGGCATCAGTGGTCGAACGTGACTAGTCTATTTACATCTGCCGATCTAGTGGGCCAGGTTTCGCAACCGTATGATCCAACTCTCAGGGAGAGTGATATCGCGCCGGCGCCATAGGTGGCGAAGATTAGCACAAGCGTTTCTTGCTTTTGCTACACGGTTCGTGACCTCGTCTTTGATTCCACGGGCGCTGATTAACCGCCTAGAAAGTTGTATTTTTGAACGACTTTTTATTGATCCCTACCAAGGATAAACGCAAGAAGTTTTCACTGCCAATCCTAGAGGAAACCTTTGCACTTCGAGAGTGCAGTGCATAATCCGAAGCGTCTGACAGTCAGTGCTAATCTGCCCATTGTAGCTTGGTACGTTTGTGAGCTGTCACAGATGATAGCAATCTCGTCAGCATACTCCAAGCCAAGAAGTCGTTTACCTAGGAGCAGCTCCACACCTTCTAAGTCGTGCCCTGTGAATGCAATCTCTATGACTTCGTCATTAACGACGTTGAAGGGGAAAGGTGTTATGCTCGCGCAAGGAGGAACAAATTCTGACTGGCTCCTACCGACTCAGCCGATATACCGTGGTATTGTCAGAACACGCGATACTGGTTAGTAGTGTGTATCGCCATGGTGAACACAAAACCGGACAAGGCAATTGCCAATAGCACGAAAAACTACTGTGCCATAGTCGAAACATGTGTGATTTCATAGCAGATGGGTTTTTCGCAAGTCTTGTACATTGTGTGGGCCAGGTAATAAGAACAATGTTCTGCTACGTAAAACAAACACATGATTCGTGGGTTTTGGTGAAAGCATGCTAACTGTGTATACCCAATGTAGTCAGTTGTACACTCGATTCAGAACATGTGGCTTATTCACTTTTTTGTGTCACAGTAAAGAGTACTGAACACAGTTCTGTGACACCGTCTGCCTCCGGTTTTCCAAAAAACTAGATTCTACTCCGGTTAGGTTGACTCTAACCCTAACAAAAGGTGACAGTGAGCATACTTGTCTTACACTAGAGGTATTGAAGGGCGGCGACATTTTACCGTAAGCCCTCGCTTTACCCGAGCTACGCGCACATAGCGCTCGTGTAATATTTGTATATTGCTCGAATACAGCTTTCCTGAGTAGATAATAATAATAATGTGTCAGCTGTACGCCTTAACGGTGCTTCGCTGCCGCGCGACCACCACCAGTCGCGCGCGGGCTGAGTATACCGTGAGGACGCCCACCTCTACGCGGATTCGAGCCGGTGACCTTATGGTTGCAAAGTAAACGTGCAGATCACTCGACCACCGGCCGAGTAGATAGTTTTAAAGGGCACATCGATCAACCGAATCGACGGCCCCCTTGATTTCGAGGAACACGACAACGGTGGGCCACCAATATATTTGACAGTGCTCTAACATTTGACGTACACTGAATATGCGGTTGATGCAGCCACGACCTCGACGAAACACGGATTACTCTTCCTGAATCTGGCCTTCACGAAGTCCAGTTAATCTGTGAAAAATGAGAGAGGAAAGCATTTTAGTGGCGGTGGACGACTTCCTTTATGGTTTCCGCATTCCGAACTTGTCTCCCTTGAAGATCCTAAAATTAACGAAGTGACTTCAGTCGGTTGAGACAACTTCCCGCTTCCACAGTTTCACTAGTAACTCATTTAAATCATTAAAAAGAGCAGGACTCCAGAATTTGCGGAGGGCTGGATGAAGATCATCTGGTCCTGCGGTTTTATGCAACTTCAGCAGTCTGATCTCACTTTCGACTTCCGAGAGAGGGCGGATCCAAAGAGACTGCCCAGGAAGCAGTGAGATCACTG